CAGCCTGGTAAATTTTCACAATTGACCTGCCATTTTCCTCCTAACTTATCTGCTTTCAAATAGAGTCTTATTCACCTGCCATGTTAGCTTTCAATATTAAACAATTCTACTCACTTTCTTTCCTAATATCACGTACTCCTTCATGTCTGCTTTTTTAATTACTACCTTTAGCTAAGTGCTATGTCATTTTCATGGGAAGGGGGAATAAAAGGAAACAGAAACAAAAAAGCAAACTGACGTTGTCTAAAGAATTTTGTGTTACTGCCAACAGCTCTTTTAGTTTGCTGACAAATAATTCAAAAGCACTGTTTACACTTCAAACCCAGAAAATACCTAGGATAAATTAGTTCCTACAGAAACCCAAAGGCAGAAAGCTATAGGAAGACCCTTATTTTAAAGGACAGGCATGTTGTAATAGTCTCTCACTTTACTTAAAATTATGTGTATTCCTGTACTCTTATGTTTGATCCCAAACTTTTTCTTTTGCATATTTTAGAATATTACACAGATTTCCACTTACAAACTCTGCCAGATATCCTGTTTTTCACAATTTTTCACAAATGTAAAATTTGCAAAACCTAATTTCTACACTTTGGAACAATTGCCCTTAACATGAGCATCATGGTATTGCAAATTATTCATTTAATCAGGAAAACCTAGGACCCACAGGCCCACTGATCCACAACCACAGGCCTAGGATCCACAACCACACTGATGGTGCTTTCCAGCTTGAAAAAATTCTGTTTCATAATTCTATTTGTTTCCTGCCATTTAGCCAACTTTCCACTTATTATATGCCTCCACGCCTTAATATTAACTTCCAGTACAGGACACTATAAATTGTTTTCTGAAAAATCAAAGCATATGATGGCCACTGTATATCCTTTGTCTTCCTTGGCAGTGACTGCCTCAAAGAATTCCAGCAAAATACTGAAGCATGACCAGCCCTTCCTGAGTTCTGTACTGCTATTCTCAGTCAAGCTGTGTTTTCTAATATTTCCCTATCTGAACCCTGAAATTAGTTTCTGCAGATCTCTTCGAAGTCTTCTGCAGCTTCCTGGCATATATTTGTAAACAGCAGAGAAAAGCAAACTTGTAAGGTTTGCTGAAACCTTTCCATTTCTATGCTCTCCTCAAAATAAGAATGCAAAAATATTAACATTTTTTCAATATCCTAAAAAATGTGCATGCTTCATATAGCAAGTCTTTCCCACCTTCACACTGTACTACATAATGACTTACAGAGTGCCAGGTTGTGCAGGTGAAAAGAAGTGGAGGGTTACAGGGCTCAGATAATTTGACTGGGCATGTATGTATTTTGATCACTTGCCCACTCAGGTAACTTAGCTTTTTTAATCTCAAAATTACATTCTATACAAAGCTTAAAATCTATTCTGTTTTTAAATTTCAATTTCAAAAATAAATTTTAAATCTTCATAAAAACTATTTGTACTGGTACTCTCAAATTTGGATTTTGCAGTCTGAACCTTGAAAGTTTAATTAGAGGCTTGCTAAATTCTTTCTAGTACTAAACTGGGGATTTTATCTCAAAATTCCTGTTTTCTGGAAAAAGAACTAATAAAAAGTGGTTTCATTTGGCATGTAATCAATCTCATTCATTTCACTGTGTCCAATAAGGTGGAAATGATTACACAATGTGGTAAAAATCCTTGGTCCTTGTCAGTCTTGTTTTCTTTAAGTTCGTATTTGATCCCAGTAGTGTAGGGATCAGTTCATATTAATGACTTATGATAGTGATTTGAATTTGATAAAGTTCTATGGGACTACCATGAGATTGTTTCATTTACTGAGGTATCACAGCCAGCCAAAACTCCTCTTTGCCTCTTAGTGTATTCTTTCTCATGTTTGCATATGTGCTATGAAGAAAGACAAACCTATTTCTGTCAACTACACAAGTTTTAAAGGAAAAGATTTCTGTAACACTTCCATTAAAAACTTTCCCTTTCTTACCCATTCTGTACACACAACAAGAGTCAACTGTCAAGGAAACTCGAATCGTCTTAGATCAATGGTCTACCTTACCAGGGCCTCTGCAGAAGTTTCCTGACCCATCTTTTTACCCTTCCTTGGAGGTCTGTAATAATTTCCTATAAATGTTTTACTACTTCTTTTAGCTACATTTTGTTTGTCACATTAGCTAACCCACATATGTAATTTTACTCAGAATACCATAATCTCTAACTAGATCTCCACATCACTTCCCATCTTCTGAATTTATCTCTTTGGTCAATTTATACTCTGATATTTTTATATTAAACCATTTAACTAAGAGCCAGTCATGTTTCTACTTTAAATGTTTATTGGTTTGTTTTCAAGCATCACTTCATGTTCCTCACATTTTTACACAGATTCTCTTCATAAAATAAAGTTAACTTCATTTTTCTAGGCAATGCTTTCTATTTGTATTACTCAATTTAGCAATGCAAAAAATTACTTACTCTTTAAAAGATGGCTAATCTCTCTCCCATCTTTCACTACCTATCCTTTTGCTAAAACAACACACGTAAAACTGAATGCTAAAATTGTAAGACTACTGCCCTGCTAATTTCTTATACAGATACAGCCTGTCCGTTCTAGATGACTTTGGATCAGCCCCAACCAGAAGAAAATATTCTGGGTAGTATAATCCTGCATGGAACAATGTGATCTTTATAAAAAATCACTTACTGAATCACCAGCACCTCTTTCCACTCTTAGGAGATCTCCCATCGAAGCAATGCCTGAATTAGTGCAGAGTGATTTGTGGCTTTCCAGCTGTCATTCATTAATTCTTAGGAAATACAATATACAATACAATAGTACTCAGCTTGAGGTTGTATTTTGCAATGTCTTAGGAAGAGTGTAATTTGTTTGCTGAATGTTCTTTAAACTTGTTTTCAAACAATCACTGTAGCCTATTGTTTCTATAACCCTCCAAATACATTTCAGTCTTGATGAAATATTGTGTCGGTCACACAGACCCATAAAGGGGGAAGGGTAAGGAATTGTGTCTGTGGAGAGTTTGGGCTATGAAACAGCAGCTGAGTTGAAAACAAGGGTTTTTACTCCAGTGCTTTGCTATTCCTGTATCTTTGGAAGAAAGTACCAGGAAAGCCTGACAGCAAGGGCCAGAAGTTACCTGGGCACGCTGATCCACTGGCTTTGGCACTTCTCAGCATGGCTGACCTGTAAAAGTTGTCCTGTTCTAGAAGGAGTATTGCTTAACTATAATTCACTGAGTAGCTGCTTTGTTTTCACCTGAGACAAGAGAGGATGTTGTGAGGTGCAGACCACATTGGAGGATCCAAGAGCCTGGGGATCTACCTTTAGAATGAGCCAAGGAGCAGCTCACACAAAGCCAGTCAGAGAGACTGTGTAATGCCTGCTTCATCAAGGACTTTTGGCAAAATCTGTGACAAGTTCAGCTCAGCCAAAACCACTGCACCTTTAGACATGCACTGTAGGAGAACTTGAGCACAGAGGGAAGTTTTCTTCTGGGTCTCAGGCACCCCTGGCTTCCCAGAAATCTGAGAAAGTTGCATAGGGGTTTCCTTTTAGGTCTTTTGCTCTTTGAATTTACATGTTAATTCTCCTAAACTGCGTATTAGGTACCTAAGAGCTTTTTTCCCTTTAAGTCTTACAAAGTTGATTTCAGCAGTAAATAAAAAGACAGAAGCAAGAGGTAAACTTGAGACAAGAATCACAGCAAATACTGGGGTTAAAAAAGCAGCCATTGTTCAGTGTTTAGTAGGCACCATGACAGCAATTATGTTAAGGAAGGATTTGAAAAACAATGCTTCAAGTACTTTTATGGCCAACTCCTCCCATGCTCAGGGGTTTTCATGCTTTTAGCTATTGCATCTGCAACTGAAGCTAACTGTGAAATTAGCAATTTATTTATCCCATGATACATACACACACAATTGCAACAGTAAAAGTGAGTAAGGGTGAGTGCTGTGAGTAAAAGTTAGAACCTTTTTTACAAGATTTTGTCCTTCACTATGTAATCAAATACCTGTGGATTCCCATATTGAAACTTTCTTTGTTCCTTCTTGTGGCTTATATCACTAATACTGGTAACACAACTGCTGTTATATCTAAACAACATAATATGAGCTCTGCCAAAATAACTAAGGACAAAAAAAAGTTTCACCTTCAAAATGGTTGCCTGAATTACAAGGAAGCAGAAGATGCCATTAAGTATAAAATAGAACAATAAAGGCCTACAATTTGTAAACAGCTTTTGATTCTGTAACAGTAAAAACTGGTCTCCTTATGAATACATGTGCACATTAAGGTATTTTTCAAGATTATATCTTTACAAAAACTACATTAGAACCTGTAGTCTCTTTCTTGCATTATGTCCTATTCTGAAAAATATATCAACATAAGAAAAAAAATCTCTTATGAAAATTAACTATTTCTGATTATTTAGCCACAGATACGAAAGCTGATTAAATAAAAGTTGTTGCTAATCTTACTTGGAAGATATAACTGATTAAAAAAAAAGAATAATGAAGGCATGTCAACAGCAGTAAAATTATCTAGACAATTCTGTGTACATAATTACCAATAATCTGAAATCAAGATGTAATTGTGCATTATTCCATTTTTTATCTAGACACCTTTGTGAAATAGAAATTTTAGTTTAGTGGACCACAAACATACAGCTGTTTCTAAGAAAAGTGGAATCTGAAATAGCAGAAAAAATGTATTTTATGTCCCTCTTTCATCTAGTATCAATGGAACAGTTTCCACTGTTTCTTAGTGATTTTGTATGAAATTGAAGGTAATAAATAGACAAGGATTGACATTTTCTGGTAAAAGCAACCGGAGTAATACCTGTTGACAAGCTGATGTGAGAGCGATACTTTCTGAAAGTTTATGAGTGCCTTTTCCTCTTCTAATGATCTTTTTAAGAGCAGCATTTTTTAAAATTGCACATTTGAATTAAACTAAGACTATTACTATTGTATATATAAAAAGAGAAACTGAGTTACCTGTATGGCTGTGAGGATATTGGCTAACGCCTGGCCATACGTGTCATGACAGTGAACAGCAAGAGCGCTCAGAGGAATTTCTTTCATAACAGCTTCCAACATTTTTTTCATACTTCCAGGAGTCCCCACACCAATTGTATCTCCCAGAGAGATTTCATAACAGCCCATACTGTACAGGTGCTTAGATACCTGATTAGAAATAGGAAAACATGAAGAGGTCAAGATAAAAGAATATAAAATATCGTCAAGAATATACATTTAAAAATACATATTTCTGTACAGGTTTAATGTTTTGACCTACTGAGGTGAATCTATCTATCACACACCCTCTATTCATTCTTGAAAATTGTCATCCAAGAAGATCCCATAGATCCTCTTATTTTAAATTTATAGTTCTGCTTCTGTACGTGGAATAACCAACCAAGCCAAATCCATCAAAAATTTGCTTTTGACTCTCCCACAGAATCCAAGTAAGCAAAATTTTAAAACTACAGATTTTCTGTCAAGTCCTTTCCCATCATTTTTCTCTCTCTGGGGACTCCCCAGCTGTTTGGTTTTCTTCGTGTAGTTTTCAGCTTATAAGCTGTGCAGGGTAAAGACCTGCCATTTTGTTTGCTTATTACATGAAGCCAAGCACATGGCCAAACTAAGACAATAAATAATTAACAAGAAGCCTGATTTTGCTTTCTCTTGGTGCTTAAAAAATCAATAAAAACTGAAGTTTTAACATGTTGCAGTCAATATTAATTTTGCTATATTAATTTTGTTTGCTTTTCATGAAATCAAACACTAAAATACTAACAAAGCAAAACTGCAACTTAATTAACATTCTAGTCCTTAAGTTTTAAAAATTTTCTTAATACCAAACAAAATCGTATACAAATAGATCTTACTTATGTAAGTAGAACCCTAAATATTTCTTTGAGGAGTTTTTTGCATGAGTAAAAGAACTGAGGCCTGGCTTCATAATTTTTGCATGAAGAGAAACATATATTCAGAAGCACAAAATCGTGTTTTCACTGACAATAATGCTTTGGAAATTGAATTCAGGATCTTTCCATCTTATTTTTGTTGAATTTATTTGGAAACATTTCACCTTACTTTCAGCTGCTGAAAATGTTTGTCCCCTTTAGGATTCCCCATTGTGTATTAATGATCCCAAAAGACCACTCCACTGGAACAGAATCCCAGTCTAGATTTTTAGAAATGAAAAAATACAACTCTTTTCCAAGACATCTTCAGTTGCACTGCACTCTGCTGTTAAAGCAATTCAAGGACTGCATCAGTGGGATTGCTGTGAATATGTCTGAGGAAGCTGACAAAGTGCTGCACCAGCAGTCTTGGAAGTGCTGGATTAATATTGCTGTTCACTTAATTCAAAGAACAGCTGAAAAAGAACTTCACATTGTCTGAATTGCCCTGCCTAAGGCTTGGAAGTGCTATGACTATTGCAAATGTAGTAAAACTGTGCTTTAAAGTCAGACTCACTGGTTCATATCAACACAAATTCAATATACATTTTAAGAAGGGGACAATCACCAGATTGCAAAAGGGATTCTATCACATGGTATATTTTTATATCATCAACACATGGCAGGCATTTTAACTAGAATACCATACTAGAAAGAACACAATCATCTGCAGTTAGGGGTGGATTACATCCAGCTACTCCTCAAACCTCAGTTTTTCTTTAAGATCAGGGTAAAGGAAGAAGATTTTTTTTTTTCTCCTGTTCTTTCTAATTCATGATTCTAAGTTTTTCTAGATGAGCATTTCAGTAATAACTGAGACTATATAACCTGCTAGAAATCATATTGCATTCACTTCTTTTCCATGTTGAGTCCTTAGGTCTTTCAGCCTTCTGAAAACAAAGTTCTGAAAGATGAAAGAAGAGAGTCTGAAACTCTGCTAACAAGTTCATCATCACCACTGATGTCAGGATTTAACCTTAAAGTGACTCTTACAAAGAGATCTATACTTATTTTCAAGAAGAATGTGCATGCTTGGAAGCTGAGTGGGAGTTTTTCCAACTGAATTTTCTACTTTACCATAGTAGGAGGCAGCCCATTAGTTATGTCTTTGTAAGTTTTCAACCTGGATTTTTGGGAGGAGGGTGTGGGAGAAGAGAACACACTGTTTTGTCGGTGTAATTAGGATGTGATTATGAGCTTGCAGCTTTGTTGATTGAACGGCATTGTGTTCTGCACCACTGAGCAGTTTTACTATGCATGAGTCTTGTGCTACGCCCCTTGGGAAAACTGCCCTGCCACCAAGCATTGATCAAAGGAGCTCTTCTGTGCAAGGTAGTTAAAAAAAGAAGCCTGTTGAGGAACATGATAAGCAATATGTCATCACTGCTCTAACTAAAGCTAACTAACCTTCACATATTAGAACAAAGTAATTTAGAAATACTGATTACCTTTCAAATTAGCTACTTTTTTTCAAATATGTGAGTATGTGTGGCTGCTGTGGGAGAAGTATTATACCAAGTTGCTTCTGGAATGTATACTAGAGAAGATACAGGAGAAGAGGACCTGAAAACCACCCATGCAGAACATAATATATTAGACAAATGTGGACTAGCTGCTAGGGCTACAAAGTAAAAGACAATTGTTTGGTTATTCTGCTAGATCAACAAAAATAAGTGATTAAGTGTAACAGAGAAGACAAGTCTACCCCTAGGTGGAAGGCCAGTGTGTTCTGCCTTCAGCCTCTTGAATTCTCTCTCTGCTTCCTTTTTTAACATCCATTTCAGCTTTCATACCCTCTTTGCCTTCCTACAAAATTTTACATTTGTGTTTCACTCACCTCCCTGCTGGGAAAAAAAGCTGCATTAAGGCATCTTCTTCCTTATCCTTTATCCTAAAGGGGAAAAGGGGGCAGGAAGGGTGGGTGCAACTTACTCCATCATGGCAGTAGAGCAATTTAAGAAATCATATTGGGGCTGAGTTTTGGCTCATATATCAATCACATGACACTCACCTGAAGCACATTGTAGCAGAGGCTCTACCAGCTGACAGCACAGTATGCTTATTCCAGTATAAAATGGATTTAAAAGAAAGAGGTTGTGCTGGGAACCATCTTGGACAACACAGTCTACTGACATATGTGCTAGAGTCTATTTCCTTAAGCATTTCCTACTTACTTTGTAAAGGAAATAGAACATATTTTTTTTTCATGACTGATAACAACCAAAATACACTATTTTTCTCATATTTGACTGCACATGGTTGAGTGAGGTTATGCACCCAGTTTTAGCATTAGATATATTTTGTCCTTGTTTTCCTTAATTTTTATCCATTTAAGATCTTTTTATGATTAAGTAGAGAACATGACTTATAGACATTTTAAAATGTATTTTTGATTCATTAAAAAGACAAGCCAGAAGTTCACTCTTACTTCTGCCACTTTAGCTGGTGTGATGTTTCCTTCATATGGGCATCCCAGCGCACATGACACATACCTGTAATAGAAAGAACACACAATGATACTTCTGTTTTATATGTATATATCTACCAAATGCATGTATTCATCCATGTGACATTTAAAAATGGGTTAAATATAATTTTTAATATTTAAGACAGTCAACGCAGAACAAAGATTTGAATGAAAAGTTAAAATTACATCAGAAGAAAATAGCAGGTTTGTTAATTTTCCTTTTAAATCACAGAATGGAGATTTATAGCTTTATTTACACCCAATGTATGTCACAGGATGTAAAGGACTGGCAATGAAGCCAAGTTAATGATGCTGCAGGAGACTTCATTTTTCTTGGTATTTCCTTACAAAGTTGCAAGAGTCAGCTCAAGCTTTACCTTGCCTAGCCCACAGAAGGTATTCAGAGGAAGATACCACTTTCTTCCTTGTCCTAGCTACTCGGATCAGAGAAAGCAACACATGGACGCAAACAACTTTTAACAACCCCACCATCTCATAAGTCATCAAAACTGTGGTGAATGAGGTAGTTTCCATCCTCTGTCTCTGTATTGGCATCTCTGTCCCATTGCCCCAGAATAATTATAGCTCCATTGCAAACTGCAATTTGGGTAGGCCTTGGGATAAGAAGAAACTGAGAAGCCAAACCATGTCCCTCAGCAGCTACTGGCTCCATAAAGCACAGAAATTGAAAGCCACAACCAAACTTCCATTTTTCAGCCCTAATGCTCTTTTAGCATAGGATTTGGTTTAAATTTCCCCTTTTTAATGACAATTAAGAGCCATGAAATTCTAATTAAACTTCTAATTATTTATCTTAAATTTATTAGGAATACAATTAAACTAACCAGAAACAGCCAGTCAAAATCAAAAGTGTGACTCTAAAAAGATTTACAACAGATTCAGAGGCAGGCAGAGTCCCAGTGGGAGGTTGCTTAATTGCTTTATAGAAGAACAAGAGCCTTCATCGATCTCCTGTCATTCCCTTTTGCACAACACTGAAGGATATAATGTAAAATTATACACTGTATAATGCAAAAGGGATTGAACAGATGCCAGTTTGTATGTAGTCAAGGTTTGCAGGATGAAGGATGTATTGTTTCTTTGCAGTTGAAGGAGGAAGTGGTTGATAGAATGTGAAATTAGGCAAAAACAAATTGTGAAAAAAAGTCCATATTTTAATGCATAGAACATATTACGTCCCTTATATGAAAGTATGATCTTGGCACACTAGAAATAGCAGCAAGAGTGAAACAAACCTTGAATCTAAACAGAACTTGATTAGCCCTGACAAAGAAATGGAAATTAATTTTGTTTCCATGAAAGTGGTTGGGTCCAGTACATCTTGCTCATAATTTTAGTCCAGATGCCTATGAGGCATGATTTCAATTATCAGTATGTCATTATGAAAAACAGCTTTTTTGAAACTTGGCCACAGAATTCATTAGATATCAGCCCCAATTATAGATGCCACTGTTTAAATTTCAAAATTATGAATTTTCTTATCTACATTAAAGTCAAAAAAGTAGCTACTGTAAACAGTTAAACACTGCCCCAATTTTCAGTGACACATAACTCAAAAGCAATTCAGGATAATTTCCTTATTATTTTTTTATGCATACAAAGTTTTTCAAATTAAACTAAGCATGAAAAATTTCAGTCCCAAAGGATTGCTTTTTACATAATACTACAGTGCCTAGAGCTAGCGAATACATACACTTACTGAAATTATTTTCAAAATTAGCCACACCACTTTTTTATGAAGTGATCAAGAACAGTCCTAAATACTAAGTAAATGCAAAACATACAGTACATATGTGCACATGTTCCCTTTATTTACATATATCTTTACAGGTTTCTAATGGCTACATATGTCAGATCAAGAAGACATGCATTTGGTAGTGATAATGTGGCATGAATGACATCTGGAATGGAGTAGGGCAAACAAAAGCAAAAGCAGACCAAAAGGTATCTAGAGAACAAGGGAATACTCCCTGTGGTTCACACCAGCGAGCAGATTGCCTGAACTCACATAATTCAGCTGGGCCTGCTGGGGTATGAAAGTATGTGGTGACCTGAGAAATCTGCCTACTACAATACACAAATCTGTTTGAGATTATGAACTCTCCACATACTTACACCATTGTGACTAGACTTACATTTTAAACAAGGAAAATATGATAGATATATTTGGGCATCTAATATTCAATATTAAACTGGAGAAAATAAGGATCACTGAAAGAATTGACAGGAAAAGAACTTCCTATCAGAGAGACAACAAAGTCCTGTGGACAGTGAAAGAACAATTCTTCAGTAGAGTTCATCAAGAATGATCTTGGCAGAATTTTATCTAACATTTTCATTTAATGAATTGGAATAAAAAGTAGAAACATGGTGATAACATTAAATTTTTTGGCACTGTCAATAAAAAACAAACAAAAAAAAAGCCCTGAGATTCCACTGAGAACGGACAGAAGCAATAGAAAAGGGACTCAGTTGATGGTAATGACAAAGAAAATGAAATGCTCAAAATGAGGAATGCGCTCCAGACATATATCAGGATAAGCATTTTTAATAGAGGACATTATAAAATATAAATTCCTTTTGACAAGATCTTACCGTATTGTTATTGGAAATAAGAGATAAAATTTGAGCCATTTGTAGAAAAGTTCATACAAGCTGGAGCATATGCAAGCAACGGCTGAGTAAAACTAGGGATACAGAGAGCCTAGCACACCAAAAGAGAAAATACACGTCTGTGTGAAAGAGGGAAGATAATCATATGTCTGGTCTGAGTATTTGCCAAGACATCTACAGTGAAGGCAGTGCTGAGTGGGATGCTTTGTAATTGCATTTGTGTGCTTCCAAATTAATAAGCAAGAGTGTGAGGAAATAAGTTTCACAAGGGAGGTAGATCTGTTATCTACAGATATGTTTGGCTGCTACATTTTTTTTTTCAGTATGAAATAACCCATAAAGCATCAAAACCACAAGAGAATCCAACCAAAGCAGAGCCCCAGGACCTCCACCCACACGCTTCCAAAATGGGAGACAACTTTGAAGAACATGCTGAAGAACTGCTTAGAAAGAAGAATATTACCAAAACAGAGCCATGGAGAGAAACAGACAATAAAAATGTAAAGAATAGTCTGGTCAACTGCAGCAAACACTACTGACAAGTCAAGAAGAATGAGGAAAGACTACTGTTTCCGAGATCTTGTCATCAGGGAGTTTGGTGAGAGCTGTTGCAGTTGCAAGCAAGGAACAGAAGCCAAAGTGTAGGAGTTATAGGAGGGAATCACAGAAGAGGGTCCCCAGACAGTAATTATAAACAGCGCCTTCGATGAGTTTAGGAATAAAGAAGAGATAGGCGATGAGATACGATATGAAGAACCAAGTAGGGTCAAAGGTACAAGTTTTAAGAGGCAAATGCTTGCTTATATTGCAAGTGGAAAAGAGCCAGAGGACAGTGAGAAGTTAAGAAAGAGAATAAGGGAGGGAAGAAATAGGAGGAAGAACAGAACATGGGGTCACTGGGGCAAGTGGAAGGGGTACAGGGAAAGTAGACAAGAAACTTCTGCTGCTCTGACAGTAGAGGAGAAAGGATCAGGGGAGGGGAGAGAGAAGAGAGTGACAGAAGGAAAAGGATACTGTATCTATTTTTCCTAGCGGAAAAAGCAAGATACTACATGAAGAAAAGCAGCAGAGGAAAAAAGAAGAGTTTGAGCAATAAGTTGCAGAAGCAACTGGGATTTAATTTGGGAATTCAATTAAGTTGGAAAATACAGCTGTTTTCTAAAAAGATAGCAGGACTGAAAGAAAAAAATACAGCGTAATGAAAAAGACTATCCTAATCTCAGGATATTCACCAGAGACACTCCACAGTATGAGAGCAGAAGCAAACTGGGAGTTCACAAAGCAGATTCTGCAATGGAAGTGTTTAATTCTAAGTATGTGCTTAAATCTCTGCTGAATCAAGGCCAGATGTAGCTTAACTACATCTTCAGCATGCCATCAAGAAAAGAGCCCATTAAACCAGCGGTGGAAAGAAGGACCTGCAAGCGAACATATCTATACAGCTGCTTTAGAAACACATGGGTATATGATGTTTTGTGAAATCAGAATTTCTCCCTTTAATAAAAAGTGATAAAAAGAAGTTTTCTACTTGTTTCACCTGGCAGAGTTTACCCAGTCTCTTGCCTGTTCTACAGATTTCACTGCAGGTGAGGATCATTTGGTCTTCTACTGAATTGTTTTCTGTGCATATAAAAATAAAAAAATAGACAACTTTACTGCATAATATTTTGCACAAAAATGCTGAACAGCCTCTGGGGATGAAGAGAGAGAAGGAAGAGGAAGAGAGTTTTCAATTTCTTCCAGTAAGCCGAAACCAAATTGCAATGTTCCAGAAATGGTATAGACAGTATAAGGTCCCCACAATCAAGGTCACTAGGAATGGTGATAATCACCACACCAGCCCAATGCCTACGAAGAGAAGAATATAAAACCTCAAACGGTAAATGAGCAAACTTTTCTTAACTAAAGGGTGTTAAAAGGAAAACGAATCCAAGCAGAAACTGAACTCCATGTTGTAATCAGCCCTTTGTCAGCTTGTTTCAGCAAGAGTTCCAGAGCCAGATCCACAGCTGCTACCACAGCTGGAGGCATGGAGCCTCCTGAGAAGCCAGTTGCAGACTCAGATGCTGCTGTTTCCTGTTTATTATTATAGTGTAAGTTTGCATATAATTTACCATGTTCACTGCAGATGTATTTATTTTTATTGGATGTTTGTGCTAAAATGTATATGCATCTCATTTGGTGATTTCATAATATCGCGGTTGATCTATTCTGTCTCTTTGCAAAGCAAGCCATCAGTTGAAAACAGGCAATCCTTACAAGGAAGAGAAGAGAGCAACTAGAAACAGAATCTCCAAGCCAAACCCAAAATGTGTAAATAAGGCCAGGATTTTTTTCCCACATTTGAGTTTAAAAAGAAAAAAAAAAAGAAAGAACCTCTCCATGTATTCA